TGCAGAGCCACCCCGTCCACCCTCACGGGGAGCTCCGGGGATACGCAGGGAGCTCCCTGGAGGGGCAGGGGATGGAGCGGTGCAGGACGGCTCCACCGTGGAGCAGAGTTGTGCGTTTTTACCCCAGGCAAGCCCAGTGTCGGCAGGGCGGGCTCTGCACCGATTCCCAGTGCCCGGCCAGCACCAGTTTTGCCTGGTCTGCTCTCCAGGTCGGCTGCTTTCCCTTCCCAAACCCAGCCTGCGCCTCTCCATGCCAGAACGGGGAAGGAAGGAGTGAAAATGCCGTCACTACCATCACACTAGGGAGAGGACCAGCTTCTCCCCGGCTTCGGCAAGGGGAGACTCACAGCTCCCCCATTTCACACGTCCCGCAGGCCGTCACCTATCCACACGCACCGGCCCACGCCGTCGTATCCTTGCCTCCGGGGTCTCTTTTGGAGAGAAGCTTGACAGGAGACACAGGCACTGGGCACACTGCTCTTCGCTGGCACAGAGCTGGACAATTCAGGCGTCAGACCGGGCTTGGCTCTTGGGAAGGTTTTCCTTTCCAGCACATGGATAAGTTAGAAGATTTAAATCTTCAGCACACGGACAGCCGAGATGCAGCAGGGCCAGGTGTGCAGATATTCAAGTTTCACCTGCACAAGTACAGATGCTTCCCCCCCCTTGCCCCCAACATTCGCCCACCATGCTGTGCGTTTTAGTCGAAGCAGTTGCATTCATCTGCAGGCTCCGCTGATAACTTGGTGTGAGCTGTAGGTCTACAGCCGAGGGGAGGGAACGCAGCGGCGGCTGTGGAGGGATGAACGCTGGTCCCCGCGCGGAGGGGACACGGTAGCTGCAGACTAGATCAGCTCCAATTTCACCAAGGGTCGGGATATGCTGTTCAACACGTCTTGGGGCAGCTCCCCCTTCCTGATAACCACTGCCCCGACGACGCAACACAAAGTCAGTAGTGAGTAGAGTCCAATGAGGTATTTCTACAGATTTTGAAGCTTAGTTATTAGTTTCATCTGGAAGCCAAATCCTTTTTAAAAACCATACTTTTTCTCCAAGACCAAAACCGAGGCCAGAGGCGATGGTGAAGAAAGGGAGGGCAGGATTTGTTAGCACCCTTCGTAGCAACGCTTGGCGGAGGCAGACAATCAGAATTTCTCCAGGCTGCTTTAAAATCCACACGACTGTGTCTAATTCAAGGACACAGATCATTCTGCAGGGCGAGACCAAAGTCCTAGCAGCTCCTGAGTGACCGCAGCCAGCTCACAGGGCACCGACCTCAGACCCGGCGACCGGGGCCACACACCACATCGCATTTTCAGACCACACTGTTGCAGGATGGAGCGTTTCCTTCGCTCGGGTTTGAGAGCACAGGAACATTTGCTTGTTTAAATACAGGAGGAAAGGTGCTTCTCCAGGCTTCTCAGCATCACTTCAGGCAAACTTTAAACTTCACCATGAAATGCAAACTCTTTGCAGTTGCTGCAATGGATGAAACAGCAGACCAGGATTTGAAAAGGGGGTGCGTGGGGTGTGGCGGTATTTCAGCCCGTGCCAAGCCCAGAAACACAGCAAGAGCTACCACTTCTTCTTGCTTTACTGTTTCTGCACTGCTGTGGTTCCATGGACATCCCAGGAAGAGGAGGAAGCAGCAAGCAAGTTTGAAGAGATCAGATGCCGTTCCAGAAGAACCCTAAGTCATCCGTTTCTTGCTCCAAGTCACCCCAAAGATGCTTCTTAATGTCCCAGCGACTCCTGATCGGGATCCTTCACAGCTCTACAGAAAGCCACTTCATTCACAGCTTCTGGACACTGCCAGAGAAAGGCTAGAAGTGCACGTCCCACGGCTCTGAAAGACTGAGATCGCTATAGCAAGTACCTTTGGTCCATGGACTGCTGCAACAGTTACAGAGCAACAGCTTTGCCGCCTTCCTTCCACTTACCACAGGGGTTCAGCAAAATCTTCCAGTGTTTGCTAAGGGAACAATGCCTCCCCAGGGGAGCGGCCCTCGCTCCCCAGTGCGGCGGCAACCATTCCCTTTGGCAGAAGGTTCCAGGACATCCAAATGGCTCACATGCTCTTCCTTCCTTGGACCCAACTTAAAAGCATATAGGACCACCCTGCAAACCCAGTTGCAAAGTTCAGCTGCCCAAGACTAGGTTCGGTCCTCTTCTCCCAAATCCTAGGAAGCAGGGGAGCTGTGCAGCCGCCCGCTGTTCAGAGCTCCATGCTCCCCAGAGGCTATTCCACGTAGCTGCACATGATTCTGGCTCAGTCTGCCTCCAAGCAGCTCTCCGGCTGCATCCCCTCTTGGCGAGGGCCAAAGAACAGTCTTGCCATAATGCCTGGAGCAGATGATCTTCCTAGAGAGTCCCCTTCTCTCTCTATCTCTCCCCACCTTGAAGTTTCCAAGGGAGGATAATAAAATTCAGCTGATCGTAAGACAGTATTTCTCATGCTGAAAACAAACAAACAAAAAGAAGACATAAAAAATAAAACTTTCAAAAAATTGTAAATAGTGCCATGACATTCTTTGTTCTGCAAGGAGTCCGCGAGCTGGGCTCAGCCATCTCCGAGACCCCTCTCCCTCAGCCAGGAGCCGAGGCTCTTGTTCCCGTTCTGCTGTGCTTCTTAGGAGTCTTGAACCCTCTTCTCTATACAAAAGAGCTTGAGAGCAGAAGCGGCACCGCAGAAGCAGGCTTCACCGTCGCGTGCCTCCTTCCCACCACAGCCTGACTCGGGCTACAGGATGGCAACAATCAAATTCCTAGTGGGGAAGAGAGAAGGGAGAGGGATCAAACAGCCCGCTTGATGCGGCAGGATCTGCCCCAGACTGCAGCCGGTTTGGCACGAGAGTGAGCACTGGCTTGTGTGGGCACAAAAATGCACGAGAAAGCAGCAGAAGCCTTGCTCCCCTCCCCAAGGAAAGCTGGGCAATGGTAAAAGACCGTGGAGTGAATAGCCACCACTTCTTTGGGAGGGCTTTGTGTCTTCTTTGCAGTCAGAGGGAACAGAGCAATTTACGTTTGACCACACGGGACGGTGCACGGACCAGCAGCTCACACATACCATCAGTGACAGCAACAAGACGGGCGAGGCAGCCTCGCTACGTGGAGGATTCGGTCTCCTGCTTCTGTTTGGAAATGAGCTGAGCTTCCTTCAGCGACAGATACACCTCCTCCTGCGGGTCGTAGTAGTAGAACTTGCGGATGTAGGAGATCAGGGGCCTGAGGAACGTACGGGCAGAAGCTTTAACCCTCAGCCACAACCATGCCAACCTCTGCAAAGGACAACCAGAACCTCTCCCCCAGCCCCCCCAGCGCAGTCACCTCCAGCAGGAACAGGAGCCTGTACCCCAGGGCTGTGGCACCAGCAGATAACACCTCACTCCTGAGCTGGTCCCCACTCCCACGTGCATCCCTCCACACCACATGACATTTATCTCGCTGTCCCAAGGCTGAAGAAGTCAACTACTCCCTCCCAGAGCCCTTGCTGCAGATCCAGACGCCTCCTCACTGCCCGCTGCGGTGAGGGTCAGGGAGGAAACCAAAGAGACTCGTCCCCAGGACAGTTCTCGAGACTTACTTGGGCAGCGGGAGCTCGGGGATGTGGTCTATTCGGACCAACTGCCTGATCCGAAAGCGGCAAAGGTGCTGAAGGGATTTGACGTTGCTGAACCTGGAGACTGGATACAGGAGCTGGACGGGCGTTGGAGGGAGACCTTTGGACAAAAGCAACATTGGAGACAATAGAAAGGAACTGCTACCGATTCAGAAAGGAAAAGCTGGCTCTTGGGAACCGGAGCTCCCTGCAAGGCTGTGTCCGACAGCGGATCTCCCCAGGAGCCCACTGCTATGGAGTCGCTTGGGACTGGGGAGCCAAACCTTCCAGGGGTGATGCCCCTTTGGCTGCCAAATATCTCCAGCCTTCCTCACAAGGCAACAACAGTTCTGATGTCATGGGGCGGCTGTGGAAAAGCAGACCCTGGGACACCTAACCACCCCCTTCTCCCAGGACTAGTAGATGAAGCATCACTTTATATAGGGAAG